GCTGTCAATGCTGTATTGGACCTATTACGAACATTACCAGCTGTTTCAGGATTGCTTCCCAAGGATGCGCGTACATTGTTGAAAACGATGCGCAAAGTTTCAGCCGAAGAGATTAGCGATGGCGAACTCTATGCACACATCGGTTTAGAGGTTTTGCTCCGTAACTATTACCTAAATAATAAAGCTGTCACCGAATTCAACATTTTCATAGGAATGGATGGATTACCTCTTTCCGACAGCTCCTTGGCACATTTTTGGCCAATTTTGTTGGCCATTATTCCAGATGACCCCTTCGAAAAGAGTTATATAGCACCCATTGGAATATGGTATAGTGCAAGTAAAACCAAACCAGATGATCCTGATAAATTTTTAGAACAATTTGTTGAAGACGCAAAGAAGATTCTCGAAAATGGTTTTAAAATTGATGGCAAAGTGATCAAGGTCAATTTGAAAGGTCTAACATTAGATACCCCGGCAAAGTCAGAATTACTAGGACTTGTAGGTCACGGCGGCTACTATGCATGCCCCCGATGTAAAATTGAAGGTGTGCAAGATCGAGGAGTGCACTTTCCAGGTGTTGACTACCCGCCCAGGGGACATGAGGAATTTACCGAAATGTATATTCAAGATGTTGAGAATGGTCTAGTAGAGGACGCCCATCACCATAAGTACACGATTCTTGAACAGATACCAGGTATCGACCTGGTAAAAGATATCGTCTATGATTATATGCACTTGCTGTGCATTGGCTGTGCCAAAACTATTGTGAAAATGTGGTTTTTGATGAAACCACCGAAGAAATTGTCAGCTGACCATGTGAGGAGGATAAACAAGCGCCAAGGCAAAATTCGAAAAATTCTTCCCCGTGAATTTGCAAGAAAATTTAAGGATATCCAATTATCACATTTCTGGAAAGCAACAGAGGGTAGGCAGTTCCTTGCGTACACAGGTGCAGCTCTCATGTTCGATATTCTTCCCGAAGAAGTCTATAAGAACTTTCTACTCCTCCATGTTGCCACCTATATATTATTACATCCGGTTTTAAATAAAAAATACCTTCACCGAGCACGCAGATATTTGAGAAAGTTCATCCTATCTTATGAACAACTTTTTGGAAGATCCCACGTAACTTTAAATATTCATGCCCTTCAGCATCTCCCTGATGATGTGGAACGGTTCACCTGCTTAGACCGTTCAAGTGGATACCAATTTGAGAATTTCCTTGGGCTTATAGCGAACCTCTTGAGAAAAGGTGATAAACCCCTTCCCCAAGCTGTGAAACGGTTAGCAGAGAAGGGGGAAGCTCTATTTGTTAAGAAAAAGCTTCAAGAAGAGAGGCCAGTTCCCTCAAGCACTGATATTGTATACCATCAAAAACATTGTACAGGACCTCTTATAGATGGATTTACAGATCCTCAATACCGGCGTGTTGTTTTCACCAATCGTTTTACGTTATGCGCTCAGCAAGTAATGGGTGACAGCTGTATTGTCACGACAGACAAGAATATTTGTCTCATCCAGAACTTCGTTACCTGCATCAAAACTGGGGAAAACTTTGTATTAGTGAAACAGTTTTTATGCAAAGAAAAATTCTTCACGTACCCAATGAAAAGCTCTAAACTCGGCATATACCGTGTTCATTCCCTCTCCGAGGATACTTCAGCTGTTCCAGTATCAGGAATCAAGAACAAAGTTGTTCTGGTTAAAGCGAAAGAAAAGGGGAACTTTATCGCTTATCCATTACTGCATAGTTCCTTTTAAAATTTTGGTAAGTATCAATCCAAGGCTCTCCATATCCGCTCTTCACATATCATTTACTCACACGCACATGGATAGGTTAACTGAAAAATTTAAGTCCTATGGCTATTGATAGAACACTTAATACCCCCTCAAGAAGGTATCCAAACACTGCTACTGCAAGGAAGGCTATAGCGATGTTAAATGGACCCCTCTGGGATCATCGAATTATGATGGAGAACAAAAGGAAAATTTACAAGTCTGTACTGTGGCGGTTAAGCGCCTCAGAACGCCAGAGAGCGCCGGAAAAGCGACTACTACGTATGTAATACCAGAAAGTGGGGTTACCATTTGTAAAGTTCAACTTAAGGGGTGGGTGCCCCCGAAAATTTCGGTCGAGCCAAAAATTAACTCTAATTAACTGACTCTGTAGAGGCACCCCGAAAATTTTATTTTGACATGTTTATGCTCCACAAATTTTTTTTTTTTTGGGGGGGGGGAGAGACTTTGCATGCATCCCTATATACATTTATTCCATCATTTCTGTATGTTGCTGAGAATTAAATTGAGAATATTTTTATAAATCATTTCTCAACTTACTTACGCTTCTCATTTTTGTTTTGTTGCAGAAATGGCGTGGAAAGTCGTTATTTTCACTGACGAAAACAAAGTTAGAGAAGTTCCAGTTGGATGGGTGAACGAAGAAGTAAAAACTTGCGTTTGGCCCTCTATACGAACGGAGAGCAAAGTAACGAAGTACATTGAAGAGTGTAGACCTCCCTCTGAAAAGTGGCGTTGTTTCAACGTTAGAATCCTAGCGAAAGGGAAAATTTTCTGTAAGTTATTATTAATCTTCAACAATATCCTCTTGGCTACCATGGTGGCTGTCTTCAAATTTAGATTCCTCGAAAAAATGTTACTTGCATTCCTACAATTTTATCAAAGGCCAAAGCCTTTACAGAGGTTTTTGTTGTGTGATTGGCCATTGACCGCTAGACAAGGTAATAAATTTAGCGCTGCGTAACATATTCTCCTTCCAAAATTATTCTGTAAGTAAGGAATTATCATTCTTAGTTTACATTATTAACAGAATATTCTTATTTCCTGCTCGCAAGAAAACCATTATCAAATTACGCCTGATAGATATTGAAATTAATCCATACCTTAAGCAAATTTCTAGAACTTACTTTCACACACATTATCTTCCTCTCCTAATATAAGAAACCTCTAATCTTGTCAGTAAAAAGTCAACAAACAGGAAAATTTTTCTGTTGTAAAATACACTAAAATCAGTTTATGTAACGCTTGGATGACTCACTCGAGAAGGCTCTGGTTTTTTTGCGAGCAGAAAGTTTGAATTTACATAGATAAAAACCATTATTTTTTAACACATGAGTTGAATATTGAAAGTTTAAATGGGTCCACCTAAGTAAAATTTTGATGAGGAATCATGTATGGCAGTGCTCAATTTGGTACCCTGTCTAGTAGTCCATTGGTACATGTGCTTAAGTCAATAATGTTAGAGTAAACATCTTAAATTTTATGTTTTTCTATTTTTGCAATGCAAAGTAGAAACCGTGGCTAAGAGAAATTAAAGTGTGTCCTGTGCAAATGAAGTAGCCATGATCTGATTTTTTTACTCAACTGGAGTCAACAAGTGGAACATAAGTTTGTTCAATTGTGAAAGGCTGCTCATTGTTTTGGCTTGAAGAATTGAATTACCTAGATGGAGAAATTGCAGGTGTCTGAAATTTGATGAATTTCGTATTTAAATGGAAA